GCCCCGCGTGAGACGGCGGGTCCCTAGAAACGGACTCCCCAGGAGCCAGGGTTTCCGATCCCACTCTTGGGCAGACTCCAACTCCGGCCCGCATGGCGCATTTCTTTCTTCCTTTAAAAATCCATTTAACGTTGGGACAAGCAGGCGGCGCAATGGCTACGTCGCTGGACTCCCACGTAGTCGACCACGGTTCGAGTCCCGGACCCGGTGGCTTAAACTCATGCCAGGCGCGTGTGCGTGCGTGCCCAAGATCCCGAGAGGAGAAGGGATTGCAGCGTGCCCATCCCCCCTGGGGGTGATTTCTCGCTTTCTGTCTCTCTGTCTCTGTCTTTCCAGCAAGCACATGTGCCCTATAGCAAAAACCTCTCAAAAAAATCCACTTAATTTCGTTTATCACTCTTATTATTTCTGAATGTGCTACAGGGCTCATGTCCTCACCAGAGAGAGACAGAGACAGAGAAAAGCCACCAGGTCCGGGCCTCGAACCGTGCTTGGCCACGTGGGGGTCCGGTGCCTTAACCGCTCCGCCGCCTGCTGGCTCTGGCACAGTGCATTTCTACAAGCTTTGAGAAGTTCATTTCTCTCTCCCGTGAGAGAAAGAGGCGCACGCAGGGGAAGAGGGAGGAGGGCGCGAGCTCCGAGCGGGCGCCCTCACCGGACCAGCCCGCGCCGCAGCGGTCACGTAACACGTGTGTGCCCAGCCAGGGCCTCCCCGTGGGCCTCCTTCGCCCCACTTGCCCGCGTGCCCCTGGGGCCCGTCCACGCGGGCCTCCTGCGGAGTGGAGCACGGCCGCTCCGGACCCGCCCACGGCGAACTGCCAAGCTGACGGCAGCCCGGGAAGAGGCCCGAGATTTGAACCCGGCTTTCCTGGCTCTGAGCCGGCGGGGTGACGCAGCCGCCCACGGGTCAAAAGCACAGAGGGTCGGCTTGTTTGCTCCGTCGGGTAAATCTGGTCCCAGCGCTGACGCAGGACAGGACGCGGCTTACCTCTGCAGCGGTCCCGGGCAGCGCCGCGTCCGACCTGTCCCGGAGGGGAGAGAAGGGAAGAGGCGTTCGTGTGCGGCGCCCCTGGACGGCAGGCCCCGCTCTGGCTGGCCCAGGGATACCCCCCGTGCCCGGCTTGGCGGCCCCCGGAGAGGGTGGGGCAGGACACCTCCCTTCACCGCCGTCAGGAAGGGGGCTGCGTGTCCCCGGAGAACGGCCGGGTCCCCCCTGGAGCCTGTACTGTTCCACTGCGGGACGGGGTCCCCGCCTGTGTTGGGCACGCGCGGAACAGCTCCCGACGTCCCTGGGATGCTTCCCGTCCCGGCCTCTGCGCTGATGTCAGCCACGTGCCAGGACCACGGGTGAGGGCAGGGGGCGAGCCGGCCTGGACACCATGGCGGTCCTCTGGCAGGGAGGCCAGGGTCCCTGTGCCGGTCACCTGGGCCGGGAGGCCGGCAGGAAAGGCCAGAAGTACCTGCGATCCGGCGCCCAGGGCAGGGTGGGCTCGGAGCAGCCCTGCCCGTGGAACTGAACCTGCCGCCCAGGCGGGACCCTGCAGGTGGCCAGGACGAGCATCCCCGCGGGGCCAGCAGGGGGACAGGTGGACAGCTAGTCTGTCTTTGCAGCTCGCCGTGTCTGCCAGGCCAGCAGTGGCCCCGCTTAGCTGGGTCCTCGGAGGCCACTGTCACGGGGCTGGGACGTCCCTGCTGCGGGGCCTCGTTCCCGTCTGGGGCCTGAAGGAGAGGGAGAATGCGCCCCCGAAGGCTGTGGTCCCGCCTCAGCCCCTTCTCCCTGCTGCTCCCTCCTGTCAGGCCCCGGGGCATGCACGCGTGCACACACACAGGCACGCGTGCACACATGTGCACACATGCCTGGCACCAGGGCCTGGGATTCACACCTCGCTCGGTCACATGGGACCTGCCCCCCAACCACTGGGCCACAGGGTTGGCCCTCGCCTTCTTTCGTGAGTTTTTCTTTCCATCGGGAGGTACCCCAAGAGGGCCCCTGTGCCATGACCCACCCTAGCTCAGCCCCGGACGGCGGGTCCGCGCCTGGCGTCGTGCTCAGTGAGGTCCGATGTGGAGCCCGGGGCCTCCCCCTGGGGACCAGCCGTGCCACCCCTGTACCCGCCAGCCCGAGCTCCCAGGGGCCGTGGCGCTGCAGGGCAGGCTCTGACAGGCCCGTAACTGTGCGGTCCCTGGGCTGCAGGAGGTCTAGCCCTGGGGCTCACTGCAGTGGGCTTGCCCCAGGGAGGTCAACAGAGGGCCCGGCGACCAGGCCCACTTCCTGAGCTGCCAGGGCCCGGCCGGGCTCACGTGGCCGGGCGTTTCCCTCTGGCCTGAAGGGCCCTGTGGGCCCCAGAGCCGGCTCCTCTTCCTTGACAAACATTTGCTGTTTCCACAGCCAGCGGGGATTTTCCACCTATGCAAAGGTTAGCCGCAGGGCTGCCCCGGTCAGAGCCGAGGGCCGCGGGAGCCCTGTCCACAGCCGTGCAGCCCCGCAGCTGTGCAGCCCTGCAGCCCCCAGCCCTGCAGCTCCCAGCCCTCAGCCCTGCAGCTCCCAGTCCCGCAGCCCCACAGCCCAGCACCTTGGGAAGAGGCCGAGCCCTGACCCGAGCTGCTGTGAGGCTCCCCTGTAGGAGGGAGGTGGCCGGGGAGGCTTTCTCCCAAGTCGGGGTCTCCCCAAGCCACTGTGAACATGGGGCTGGATCTGGGGGTGTCCTATTTGTCCTAGGTGTCCTATTTTAAACTTTTACAATAAAGCACGTGAGTGTACTAGAGAGAGGGGAGCCCCACAGGGTCTGGTCACACCGGGATCCCTCTTCCAGTCCTCCGGCCGCTGGGTGGGGTCCTGGACCGACCAGGCAGGGGACTTGAACCCTGAACCTCGGCCACACGCAGCTTCCAGCTCTGCAGTGTGGAAGGCTACTGACCGTGCCAGGAGGCTGGGCCGTTCCCGGGGTGGCTTCCAGGTGCTGGCACACCCTCTCCGCCCGAGGGGTCCCCCCTTACTGTGCCAAAGGTGCCCTTGGGAGCGGAAGGGCCCGTGCCCAGGACGCCCCCTGCAGAGGGTCCCTGGGGGGTGGCTGACAGGAGGGAGCCCGAGTTTAGGTTGTCTTTGCCGTTGGTGACACAGCAGAGCTGCTGTCCCTGCAGGTGGCCCGCCCGAGTCCCATCCGCTGGTCCCCACCCTCTGCTGTAAACCCTGTCACGTCGGGGGCCCCTCCTGGGAGGTTTCCGCGGAGCCCATGGCTGGTTCCCTTTTCCTCTCGCTCTCGGCAGTGCCCGGCCGACCTGCGGGGAGGGAGGTGCCCAGGGCCGAGGCGGGAAGCCCGCGCACTGCCCTCGGGGAAGCCCGTCCTGGAAGTTCCTCTGAGAAGCTTCTCCGTGTTCGGCTTCTCAGAAACTGCGTTCCAAGAGCATGTGCCCTCTGCCCACTCGGGGCTCGCAGCAAAACCTGGAGGCCGGGGCCGGGGCTGAGTCGCCAGGACCCCCAGACAGCGCCGACCCTCTGCTCGGCCCGTGGACGCACTTCGGTGACCAGTGAAGCTAGTGAGCACGGGCGTGCGAAGGCCCCGAGATGGCTGCGTCCCCGGGTCTGCGCGGCGCAGGCTGCCGCTGCGGCCCCGGGTCTGCGCGGCGCAGGCTGCCGGCCACGTGGCTGACTTTCCCCGTAAATGACGGACGTGCACAGGAGCCGCTCTGAGCGAGGGAAGCCCGGCAAGGCCTGGCACGCGGGACCCGTCCTCAGCCTCCACCCTGGGGAAGCTGGTGGCTGTGCACACGCCCGCGGGCTTCCAGGGCGACCCAGGACGGGAACCGGCAGGGCCACGCGGCTTCCGGCTGGGCCTCTTAGTAACTTTTTTTCCCCTTGAAGTTGTTTCCATAGGACACATGCACTTACCAGAGAGGAGAGAGACAGAGAGACAGAGAGGGAAAGTGAGAAATCTACCCGCAGGAGTGATGGGCATGCTGCAGTCCCTTCTCCTCCATTCTCCTCTGGGATCTCAGGCACGCACACACACACGTGCCTGGCCTGAGTTTTAAGCCATCGCGGGGGTCCGGGACCTGAACCACTGTTGCGTCTCGACCACGACGCCACCTGCTGGCTCTGTTTGCTACTTTTTTTTTTTTTTGAGAGTTTTTTGCTATAGGGAGCATGTGGTTGCCAGAAAGACAGAGAGAGAAAGCGAGAAATCACCCCCTGGGGGGTGGCCACGCCGCAGTCCCTTCTCCTCCATTCTCCTCTGGGGATCTTGGGCACGCATGCACACGTACCCAGCGTGAGTTTAAGCCACCGGGTCTGGGACTCGAACTGCAGTCGACTACGTGGGAGTCCAATGATGTAGCCATTATGCCAACTGCTGGTCCTGCAACTTTTTTTTTTTTTTGAGAAGTGTTTCATCATTTAATTTTATTTATTTCCTTGTTTATTTTAATTTGACGAGAGAGTGATGGAAAGTGAGAAAGCAAGCTGCCAGGTCCGGGGCTTGAACTGTGGTTTGCCATGTGGGAGTCCAGCGTCTTAACCACCACGCCACCTGCCGGCCCTGTTGGTAACATTTTTGCAATCGCCAGACTGTCTTCCATGGCAGCTGCCGGCAACATGCGAGCGTGGCCTCGGGGCTGCCGGGGACCAGGGAGAAGTGTCATGGGCTCCTCCGGCCACCCTCGGGGACAGACACGGCCCTCCCGGTGAGCTCCCACGCAGGCACAGCCGTGCTCCGGAGCAGGGGTCGTGGGGCAGGTGGGCCCCCGCTGCCTGGAGGCCGTGCAGGCCCGCAGCCGGCCGCCCGGACGTGGACAAAAACAAACACTGACCGCAGCGAAGCCTGGGCGGCCTGCACGGCAGCTGGGAGCCCGCCAGCGTGGCCAGCCCTCCCAGCGTCCCGAGGCCCCTGACACGTGTGAGCAGGGGACAGCCGGGACCCGGGGAGTGACGTTTGCCCTTCGAGAGACAGCCCTTTCCCACGGGCCTTTTTAAAAGATGATTACTATTCTATTTAGGTTTCGCCATAGGGTGCGTGTACTCTCCAGAGAGAGACAGAGAGGGCAAGCGAGAGATGACCCCTCAGGGGAGATGGCCGTGTCACGGTTCCTACCCCTCCGTTCTCCTCCGGGGACTTTGGGCACACGGCGCGGGCGCCCAGTCGCTGGGTCTGGTACTCAAACTGCAGTCGGCCACGTAGGAGTGCCCCACCTCCATTACAATTTTTAATGCTCGAGGGCACATGCATTCTCTGGGGCCACGGGGGACCCAGCTCCCTCAACCAGCAGGCCACGGCGCTGGGCCCCCAGCCAGGTCTCGACGCCAAGGTCCACCCCAGCTTCGGCTAGCCCGGGTCATGGGGACGCACGTGACGGCATAGCTCTGTCCCTAACCATGCGTGCACACACAGCTCAGTGTGCCCGCCAGTAGGGCGGGGACCCCGGCCGCCGGCCAGGCCTGGGAGCGCTTGCGGCGATGGGAGGACGGTGCCCGCAGGCCCGGCCCTTACAAACGCCCGGGTGCCCTCGTTCGATTCGCTGCTGAAGCCTTGCTTAGGGTACGCGCGCTTGTGCGGCCGGCTTCTCATCTCGGACTGCTGCCGTCTGGGTGTCCTGGGCATTGCGGGGTGCTGGGCAGCGAGCCTGGCTCCACCCACTCTGCCAGGGCACCCCACAGCCAAGAGTCACAGCCCCCGGGGCTGGCAGGGCCCAGGGTGGGGAGCAGCCCCGTGAAAAGGAGCCCGAGGCCACGTGCTGGTCGGTACCGCGGACCCGAGGGACCGCAGAGCCCAGACTGAGCCCTAGGGAGGTCCGCCAGCCCGGCCCGCGGCTCCCCTGTCTGCGAGGGGCCAGGAAACGGCAAGAGGGGAAGACGGAGGGAGGAAACGGGGTGAGGACACGCCTGCTCCTGCCGCCCGCTGGCAGCGTGGGCACCCACCCCGAGGGCCCCGCGACCCCCGCGCTGAGCCCCGGCGTCTGCGGGCCTCACCCCTGCCCTGACTGGTTCAGGAGCTAAAGCCTGGGCAGGGGCAGTGGGACGCGCCCGG